CATTATGCTAAGAGAAACAAGCCAGACACAAAGAGCAAATACTGTATGAGTCCACTTATCTGAAATATCTAGAATAGGCAAATTCATAGAGACAGAAAGTAGATTAGAGGTTACCAGAGTTGGGGAAAGATGGCAATGGATAGCTATTGTGTAATGGTTACAGAGTTTCTGTTTGGGGTGATGAAAAAGTTTCAAAATAGGGGAGATGGTTGCACAACAATGTAAATATACACAAAAAATGGTTAAAATGGCAAATTTTGTATTATGTTTATTTTATCACAATAAAAAAATAGAAAAAAAAAACAATGAAAGGGAAAGAATTATTGGCTACACAACCAAGACACTGATTAAAGATAACCACGAATATACTGTACTGAGCAAAAGTCAGGCAAAGAAGAGTACATAGTATATGATTCCAACCAGACCTTTATAGAAAGTTTGCAATTCCTGGCACACTGACTCCAGAAATACGTAAAAAAACAACAAATATAATCTGTAGTCATGGAAAGTTGAATCTGTGATTGCCTAAGGCTGCAGGTGGGAGATAGCTGGAAAATGGAATTCCTGGGGTGACAGAAATATTGATTGGGTGCTGGTTATAAGGATGCATATTTGTCAAAACTCAAAAATCTGTTAAAACGTGTATTTTGTAATATATAAATTACATACCTCAATAAAACAGATGACAAAATAGCCAGCAGTCCTACAAAAGCAATAAGGCATGACAAAAGTGTGCAAATAATTTATTATTTACTGAAAAATGGTCTTAAAAGTTTACTCCAAAAAAAAAAGGGAACAGTGTTTTGGGTTGTATTACAAGAATAGAAAGGTCAAAGGAGTTTTTCTATTATCCATGTTGGGGCAAATTTTTTAAAAACTTAAAAATATCCTTGGAAGGATAAAAAAAATTAGAATTCTACGAGTCATAAATGTTATATAATAGGTCTGTCAATAATCCAAAGATTTCACTTTTCTCATTCTACTTTTAGGACCAAAATACATGCATTAGCAAAAATGCTTTGGCACTACTGGTACAATTAGAAAATCAACTACTTAATCTTACTCAAATATAAGAAATGATGTAATTCCTGAAGAAAAATGTAAGCAAAACTTCCACCTTCCCTCATGGAACAGTCTGATTTATTAGAATTCAGTTAAATATGCTTTTTATCGGCAAATATTATTTTATGAAATAGTTGAAACTCTTGTATAATAGAGCTGTAGATATACAAAAGACAAGTGTGAAATAACTATAAATATACACAAGCTTTCAGATTTAGATTTTTATTTTTTAGTCTACAGTGGGAATTACATCTGTTTTGTGCCCACACCTCAGTCTATAAACCCCTGGGAGGCCAAGAAAATTTTCATAAAAACTCACTTAAACTATTACCAGTTCTACATATATGAAGTGGGTAATCATTTCAATTTGCTAAACACTGCACCTAACCATGAGGGGCTCTGGAATGAACAAGACAGAGTCCCTGCTCTAAACTCACTGATTATCATCTCCCTCGAAAAAATGATTTTTGAAAGTCTGTGCAAATCATGGGGGCCTATTCGTCCTCAGATCAATCAGATAAATTCTCAGTATGCCCCTGCCCAGCTGTGTCACAGAGTGACCAGTTTCCAAAGACTGAGTCTTCCAGGCTGCTGAGTCACCTGAGTAGCAGGCGGGTTTGTCAGTAGAAGGCACGAATCCATCAAAAGGTGCAAAAGGTTTCCACCAAACTAAGACATAGAAGAGGGACTAATTTTACAATTTCTAAGAATCACTCCCCAAAAGTAGTAAAGCAACACTAATCTACACACCTCTGTATTCCATCATCTCTCCTGAACTTCCTCACACTATTGTCTCCTAACTTTTTAAAGGAGGTAACTATCCTGAAGTTAAAAGGACAACAGACTGGAATCTAGGAAACCTGTGTTCGAAGTGAAACGCTGCCTCCAAAATACTGTAAATTCAGGAAACTCCCTGAACTTGATCCATAATTTCAGCTCAGTTTCCTTCTCTGTAAAATGATGTAATTGTCAGACTAAGTACTCTTTAATATTGAAAAACGAAACTCACCTTCCCCAAAACGCTCTTCCTCATGAGTTCTGATGTTTACTCATCTACCTGAGAGAGAAGCCTCTCAAGATACCAATTCCTTTCCCTCATTTGCTGCCCATCCAATCTCCACCCCTGTGTTCTAATAGTTATTGGGTTGTCAGAAAAGTCATGACATATTTTGTCTGTTTTTCAAAGGTGATTTATTTACATAAAGAACAAAGATCAATGATATATTGCTTGTTTTGTTCGATAACCTTNTTCTCCTTTCAGGCTTCAGTTGAAATGTCTCTTCCTTTGAGAGAACTTCCTTGATGCCTCAATCTAATTATATTTTCAATTCCTTATTCTCTCTCCTAGCACTCTGTGTTCCTTCACAGCGTGTATTCCAATGTGTATCTGTATTTAATATCTGTCTTCCGCATTAGACTGTGAAGGCCATAGGGGCAGAAATCTTGACTACTGTGTTTACAACTGAAATACCAGAACCACTTATCAGTACATAATTGTTTAGGATATATTTGTTGAATGAATGAATGAATAACTTACGAACTTGAGATTAGGACTTTACATTTGCCTTACATTTACTATAAACTTGTTGTGGTTCAGTTCCTCATTCCATCTGTAAAGACTTATCTGTATCTATCCTTAAACACTACAGTTGAAAATGCTCCTATGTTCTGTGAGCAGCTCCACAAATCTTATTAGCATGTTACTGATTTCTGTATCCAATTAACCGATAAAAACATGCACCTAACAAGGCCAAAGATGAAACCTCATAACACAGGTAACTTCTCTCTAGGTTGAGAACTGACTACCTCACCTATAATATAGAAGTTGATGTCTTTAAGACTTTTGTATCTTGCTCTTCACCAAATCAAAAGGACCTATGGAGGTTTGTCATACAGACCAAATTCTCCATTGTGGCAACTTCCATGCTTAGCTCTAAATATTCTATAAATATAGACCCCTCTCATCCTACCAACCTGTAGCCTTTTGTAGCACTAGTTCTCAGTGAACTCCACTCAAGCTATTGGAAATCACTACTGCTCTTAAGTTTACAAATTGCCTGTGCCCTCATCAATACACTAAGGTATCCATTAATGAAAACAAGAAGTGGAAACTATACATTTCAGTTTGTTACGGTTTTTATTTGCTCATGTCTCATCTCTTTTAGGTCTACCCTAATTATCTTTCAAGTCATGTCAAACAACAAATATTTATTGAATATCCACCATATGCTAAGCACTACTTGAATCCCCATAGATACAGCTGTGATCAACACAAATCCCTTTAGTCCTGTATACGTACAGTATGATCAGGCCCATAGAGAATTAAAAATAATAACAATAACATCTAAAAACTGATGTAAGTTTATCTGATTTCAATATCATATTTCTTAAATTGTTTTAAAATATCAATCTTATCAAAACTTACACATCAGACTGGTTTTGTTCATATAAAGCTTTCATCTCCTCCAGAACTTGCCTGAGTCCATCCTCCTAGAACATACAAAATGATATTAATCCACATTCATTAATACCTCCACCAAGTCGATAGCAATATTCTATCTATACTATGTTTACCTTTGATTTATATCTTATCAAAAAGCGATTGTCCTTTCATACCTACTACGATGGTTATAATAACAAGTGGTTATAATAACAAGTGTTGGAGAGGATGGGGAGAAATTGAAACCCTCATACATTGCAGGTAGGAATGTAAAATGGTACAGCCCTGTGGGAAAAAAGTCTGATGGTTCCTCAAAAAAATAAACATATTACCATATTATCCAGCAATTCCATTCCTAGAGAATCAAAAATATATGTTCTTATAAAAACATGTTCACAAATATTCAACGGGCCACCCGAGTGGCTCAGCTGGTTAAGAGCTCGCTTGGGAGCGCCAGCTCTGAGCAGCAGGACTGTGGTTCGGATCCCACATTGAGGGCCAGTGACACTGCGCCCTCTACAGCTAAGATGATGAACAACAGCTCAACCTGGAGGTGGGCTGCTGTGAGTCGCCGGTGATGGCATAGGCTGCAGCGGGGCTGCAGTGGGCTGCCGTGAGCTATGTTGAGTGGCTGGCAGCCAGCATGAGAGGCAGGCTACCGGTGTGAGCAGCCAGGAGCCGCTGTGAGCAGCCGATCAATGACCGGCGACCGATTGCCTCACCTGGAATGAGCACAATGATCATACCAACATGGGCCAGTGAAGCAACGTCCTCTACAACTAGACTGAAGAACAAAAACAGCAATTTGTCTACCTGTCTGTTCCCCTTCCCNTAAGTTAAAATGGAGTCAAAATGGTCCTTTTACTCATCAACAAATATTTGTTGATCTTCAACTACGTGTATAAAGGTCTGATAATTAAGTTCATGAACTCATCCCAGAAAAAGTGCTACATATTATAGTGATATTCAGCAATACCTTCGAAGTACTACCCTTGGGAAGCTATGCACCAATGCCAGGGCCTTGTCTACCCTTCAAAGAAATTTGGGAACCTTTTCTGGAATAGCCATCAGAGCTGTCGTTGTATTACCCTTGATGTTAGGAATGTCATCAAAATGTCTTCCGTTCAATATTTCCTTTATCTTTGGGTAAAGAAAGAAGTCATTGGGGGCCAGATCAGGTGAGTAAGGAGGATGTTCCAATACAATTATTTGTTTACTGGCTAAGAACTCCCTCACAGACAGTGCCATGTGAGCTGGTGCATTGTTGTGATGCAAAAGTCATGGATAGTTGGTGAAAAGTTCAGGTTGTCTAACTTTTTCACACAGCCTTTTTAGCACTTCCAAATAGTAAACTTGGTTAACTGTCCAGTTGGTACAAATTCATAATGAATAATCCCTCTGATATCAAAAAAGGTTAGCAACACCATTGTAACAAGTTCGCGAACTTAATTGTCACAGCACGTATATGTTCTTCACAGAGAGGGAGAAAATTTTGGTTCTGCACTACAAAATATATTATTTCCTTAGACGTTTGACAAGCATAACATTTTAAAACCAGATGTACAATTGTTTAATGAGTATAGAGTTTCAGTATTATTATATAAGATGAGGAGTTATGAAAATGGCTGGTGATGACTGTTGCACATTATGAATGTAGTTAATACCGTTTCCCCGAAAATAAGACCTTGCTGGAAAATAAGCCTTTGCATGATTTTAGGTGCCAAAATATGGTACTTGGCATACTGAATATTTTAAGCTGAAGGAGTTTGTGGAAAAGGCACCCTTCTCCCTGAAACAGGTCATAAAACCCTCATGTGAGGGGTGCGTGCCCTCCATATCCTGGAGGAATCATGCTAGGGCTTCTTCTCCGGCTAGGTCTTGTTTTCGGGGAAACACGGTACTTCTGAACTGTACATTTAAAAATGGTTAAGATGGCAAATTTTATGTTATGTGCATGTTACCACAATTTAAAAAAACTGAAATAAAAACAAAACAAAGCCAGATGTACAGAAAGGATAAGAATCTACTTTGGAGTTATAAAAGGAACCAGATGAATATGAAAAGGATTCCTTCGTGCATTGTGTGCTCCATGCCCTGAAAATGGAGGCAAATTATATGTCCTATCCAATCATATCTTCTAGATCTATACATTTCTGCCACTCTTTGAAAATCAGATTTATTCTCCACATTGTTTACAATGTGCTCTGGATTATAAAGAAATAGTACGAATAAAATATACCCAAGCTACATTAGAGTACTTTATTAAGTACACAAGGACTTCCTAAAAATTCATATTTATACATGAGNTTTTTTCCCTGAAAATTTGGGCCAAAAACGTGGGTGCGCATTATATATGGCAAAATACGGTAGTTCCTAAAAGACTACATAAAAAAATATCTTCATAACCTTCATTAGGAAAGCACACACACACACACACACACACACACACACACACACACACCCTCAGGTTCAATTCGCCAGAATGACTCAGAACTCGGGAAAGCACTCTATTTATAATTACAGCTTTACTATAGTGAAAGGGATACAAATCAGAACCAGACAAAGAGACACGCATACAGTGAGATCTAAGAAAGTCCCAAACACGAAGTTTCTGGTGTCCTCTCCCCGAGGAATCAGGACACATTACCCTCCTGGCACCCTGATGTGTAACAATAAACACAGCGTATTGTTAACCAGGGAAGCTCACATAAGCTTTGGGGTCCAGAACTTACTGGAGTTTCATTTCACAGGTACAATTGATTGAATCACTGGCTAAGTGATTGAGCTCGATCTCAAGTTCCCCACTCCTCTCGGGAAGTCAGACTGATAGCAAGAGGATCAATGCCCCCAAGTTGAGGGAAGAGTGGAGGCCCCCAAATTTATAGCCAGGTGATCAGAAGAGAGGTGGCCCTGGGAATCCCCGAACTTGTGGCTGGTGTCTGTAAATAAGGGCATAGAGAGAGGTCAGTTACTTGCCCAAGATTAGACAGGGCAGAGCGAAGATTTGAACCCAAGTCTGCGTGATTCCAATCCTATGTCTTTAAATATTGGGCTAGCTTTGTCCCTCAGTGACTGGACAAAAGTGTGTGTGTGTACAGAAGTCGCATGGTTCCAGATCCAATAAGTAAGGTGGGTAAGGACACATTGTAATGTTTTTATTTGACAGAAATTGCCATATACCAGAAGCGATGTGTGACAAGGAGCATTGTCATGATGGAGGTTAATTTACAGCACACTTTAAAACACACCTTCTCTCAACCGGAGCACACACTCGAATAACTGCACCACACAAATTAAAAATTGTCACACAATTTTACTAAGGTTTGACATGCCGCTTCCGTATTGAAGACCCCTGCCTTTCCATTGGATGGCACTTGGCAGCAGCATTCACTATATTTGCTGATCACAACGGAAAGGCTCTGTGTCACACATCACTTCTGGTATGGCAATTTCTGTCAAATAAAAACATTATGGTATGACTTTATCCACGATCTTCACTGGTTTGGACACAATGCAACTTCTGGCTCTTCCCCAAAGTCAAAATGACCATGGAAAGGTATACGTTTTGAATCGATTCAGGACATTGTAGCAGCCATGACAGTGCAACTCAAGACACTCACAAAAGACTTCCAGAACTGCTTCAGAAAGTGGCAAGAACGATGGGATAAGTGTTCAAAGCGAGGGGGAACATTTTGAGGAGAATTAATGGCAATGTGTCTTTTACTGTTGTTGTATTTTTTTAATTTAAATATTCACTGTTATTTTTCGATCACACCTCATATACTGAATAAATACAGGCCAAAATCTGCTGAAAAATAGATGTTAAAAACGAAAAGAGAGGGAGTTGGCTTGGGACGCCAGCTCTGAGCAGCAGAGCCCCNCGCTGAGATCAAAATCACCAGCACGAAATTTCGTGAACCATGGTAGCCACTGACGTTCTTGTAGAGCATTGTCACCATAAACTTTATGCAATTTTTCCCACAAGCTTGATGCGCATGCTTCCCTTTATGGAAGTAAAACAGTAAAATATGGTGAAAATGCACAGTTTGGTCTTCCATCTTCAACTTGTAAAATCTCCAAAACTCACCCAAATCGCTCAATTTTTTTTTTAGAATGAAGCTAGAACTGTCAGCTGTCAAATGACACAGCAATAACATGGATGCGAATGACTCTAGTACTTCCAAAAATGAACTAGTGCCATCTGTTGCTAACATGCGTCATGACTTTTCCGACAACCAAATACAAGTGCTGTTTGTTTCAAGTCACTAAAACCCAGACACTGATTTCAGGGCCCACTGACTGGACACAGTTTGGACCATACGCATCTCTCACCTGGTCCATTATAACTACCCATAACCATCTCTCTGCCTCCCTTCTTTCTTCTCTCCAATCCATTCCCCACAGGACTGCCATAAATATCCTCAAAATACAAAAAATTATCCAATCACTCCCCTGTCTAAAATCCTTACCAGCTTCCAAATTATGAGTGAATACCAAACTCTCCTAGACCTATAACCTACCTTTGTAGTCCCTGTACACACCCTTTCAATCATCCTTCCTGTGTGATCATGTGTCTGCTGTCTGCTGAGATGCCTCACCCCCTTGTCAGAGTGGTGACCTCATCCTTCTTGGTGTGGCTCAAACGCCCCCTCCTCTACCCCAACTCACTGGAGTTTCTCCTTTGTGCTCTTGTCTACACCTCTTTGGTATAACTTTACACATTGCATTCTATTACCTGTTTCATGCCCCTCTCCCAGCAGAATGTGCCCTGGTATCCACACAGTGGCTGCTCTATGATAGGGAATATAATCGAGTATAGACTTTAGAATGCAGGTCTGAAGCCTGACTGCCAGGGTTTAAATCCTTAGCTTTACTTCTTACTGGTTATGTCACCATGGGCAAGATAATTTCCCGTCTTCACATATATAGCTGGAAACAATGGATAACA